CATCTTAAAAAGTAAAAACAAAATTATCTCCTCCCCTTGACCCCATTGAAATCTTATTGAACCTTTGTAATTTTAGTTAATCATATCGTCATTGAAATTTTTACTTGAAAAATATTTATTTTCTCTTAATGTATCTACAGTTAAAAACGTCAAAAAAATTGTTGAATCTGCCATTGCACGCAATCACTGTCAAAGATACATAATTTTAATGTATCTCATTTATTTAGAGTCTTAAATTAGTCTTTCTTAGTGTTATCATTGATCTGATACAGTGCTACAATAATCTTTGTTGTATGCAATGTATCATGTTCATATTTAAGGTAGATACATAACTCTAATATTGTTGAATCTTCAATTAGTGTTTACCATGTTCAATATAAATGTACTTGATACATAAAATTTGTGTTATGTATCACACACAAAAAGGGAAGCAAATTTTATACAAATACATGTATAATGTATTTTTTTAATTTTAAATTATAGAATTTCTCAAACAAAATAAAATACATAAATAATAATGTATCATGTACTAATTTTTTAGCTTTGATATATAAATTTGAATTTATACTAAATGTATATGATACATAACAATTACCAAACAATAATGTATCGATCTCAAATCTAAAATCTTATGAACAACACTTTCTTATTTAATGTATCTAGTAAAAATACGACACTTATTTGAATCAGTACAAAGAAAGTGAAATATAAGAATAAAGAATCAACAGAAAGATTGTCAAGAAATAACTGTTTCCAATGACTACAAACTGAGAAAACAAAGTCTACAGCAAAAATAAGAGTTTTTTGCTACATGGGTTCTTTTCGAAATTTCTGAACAGGAAACAAAGTAACTAAATAGAGATTTTTTGTGCTTTAACTTTCAAAGACACGGACGTTCTTTTTGCCAATTCCCTCAATTATGGACAAACCTTCTAATTAAATATCTCTACAACTTATTTTCTCTTGATTTTGAATGGATCTCCATGATGTGTCTCCTCAAATTTTTCGATATTATGAATAAAAATTTGAAAGGATCTTGAATGAACTGGAGATGAATTTTGAATCTCAAAATTTTCGGCAATCTTGTATCAAAATCGAAAGGATATTCGATGAACTTGAAGATTCACAAAAGAAATTGTTTGTCCAAAAACAATTTCATCACTTTTGTATCCTTCATAACTCACCCTGCTTATCCAAAATTTTGACAAAAGTTTTTATGAAACAGAGAAAACGATGAACAAGAAGAAATTTAATTTTTGATTTTTTTGGATAGTTACACTATATGATTGAATTCTTGACAATATGAAAGGGAACAACGCAATTTATGGGACTTATATTATTTTCAACTTTTCCCCCCTTAATTAGTGTAACAGATGGATAAGATCGTAATTTGATTTTTCAAATTTTTATCCTTAATAAGTGCAACAGATTGATACAGAATGTATCAACAATAATCCAGAACCTTTTTTATGTATCAAAAATACCTAAAAAACATGAAATTTATGTAATTAGAAAAATAATAGGGATAGAAGGTAATTAAGATCTTACACTATGAAATTTAGGTAAGTTATACATAAATTAATTAATAATTCTCATCAAACCTATAAAATGACTATAAATATTGACAACACTATGCTACTTATGTAGGTTATTGGATTAATCTTTTGATCAAATGATTTAATTTTGTCTTTAATGTATTGTGCCTTTGGAAAATTTTCAAATGAAAAATCATTCTTAGCCAAAAGATACATTAGGCTTTCTTGCATAGTGTTGATGGTTCCATCATGGCATCATGAGAGATATTATTACTTGGACTATATCTTTTTAATTTTTCGATTGGTTGAATTTTTTTTAATGGAATATATTTTTTTTACGATGAATACATTAAAAAGGATGTTAGTTTTTCGATAGAATCAAGTCTTCTCATGGTTGAAGTAGATCCATGAAATATATTTAGTATATCGAAAGAGTTTTGGATCAACTTAAATTAGTTAAATTAAAAAATTTAAAATCAATTATAAGCATAGTATAAAATAACCATGTCAATCATTATTTTTTAAGAGTTAAATGTTAAAAATATATCTACTTTTTTTTCGAATTTCATATCTCAACTATTAAGAGTATGAAAAATGCACCTAAATTGTCACTTATTAATTTAAGAAACATATGTCTTTTTTTCAATTGATCTTTAAAGGGTGTAGTTATGTGTTTTAGTTAATATTTTCAGCTGAGATTGTTATATGTGTTAAGTTATGTTTTCCACTTTTTGATACAGTAAAATTATTTTCCACACAATTACATATTATTTGAAATGTGTTTTTCCAGGTTTAAGAGTAGAGCCGTTGGTATAGGTTATGTTTGTTGGGCTAGTCTGGCCTAGCCCGAAATTTAATAGTGTTGGGTTACGATTTTTGAGCCTATTTGAGAAAAAAAAATTTAGCTCGGCCTGAATAAGTCTGTAGATTTGTGGGACTTGAGAAATATCGGTAGGATCGGTCCGTGCGCCAATAAAAATTAATTAAAAAATATTATATAATATTAAAATTTAAAATTAAAGAGAGTACAAACTCAAAAATATTAGGTTAATATTTCTATTTAGATATATATAATTTTACTTAAAAAAATTTAATAAATATTACACAGATAATTTTATTTGTGGATTTGATTAAAAAGTAGTAACATTTACATCATGTAATATTGTTTTCTCGATATTTATGATAATATTTTTAAATTATAATTTATAATTTAATTTAATAATTCTAAATATCATATAATTTTTAAATAAAGTGGGCTGACCGGTAAGCCTGTAGTCCACGTACTTGTGGGTTGGACCGGCCGTTTTGTGGCCCCCACGAAAAATGGCTACCCCGACCTAACCCGTAAAATATCGAAGCCTGTATGGATTAACTAGGATGGGGTGGGCTACCCCATATTGACAGCTGTATTTATGAGTGATAACATAGTTTTCTTCGTTACTGTTGGAATAGTTTAGATATAAAAACTTATATATATATATATATATATATATATATATA